AATAAAATTGAATGCACTGCAATAATCTGGTCTTATTAAGTATAATATACTTCATTATGGTGCAGAGTGTAGAAGTGCAACAACTCATACTGCTTCGCCAAGTCGACTACAAACACATCTTGGCCGTGTTTTTTTTGATTATTCCAATTAAAAAATCATGTAAGTTTTAAATTAAAATCACATCCTCTCTGATTTCACAACTTTCATTAACATGGATTTATTCATTATACAGTGAATTTAGTGTGGGATAAAAAGCAAAGCAAATTACAACAACATATAACCAGAACTGCTGGTGGGATATTATTCTGACCCCATACCCCGAGAATCAGACAGCTACAACATTTTGTCACAACTATCTGAATAACAGGAGTTGTTCTCTTGCAGGCTTTGCCTCCATGTGCTTAATTTGACTTTTGACTTTATGGATTTGTTTTGTAAATCTCAGAAAATCTACTTGTAATGAAAGTCCAAATTATTGAGGAGAATGCACAATTACTCTGATGGATAAATGACACATATGTTGAGTAAGAGTCTGTTTCACTGATGTTTTAGAATATTTCTGTAATTTTGAAAACACTGTTCAATAAAATATATTTTCATGTGTGTGATGGTCATTTTGTCATGTGTCGTAACTGTCTTGGCTCAAAAGTCGTATTTGATATAATAGTTAATGTTTTCAATAATACAAATTTCCTGGAGATCTGCTGACCTAAAACCAACACGATTCACTTGATTCAAATCCATCTGGGACTGTTTGTTGCAGGACTTTCATGTTTCACAACTTAGTGTATAAAAAACAGCAGATAAGATATGTGGCAGACAATAAGAGAAGTAACAAGGCTCTAATTATAATTAGAGTCAAGGAGCAGAATGAGGCATTGATAACAGACCAAATGTGCATCACACAGCATTATGAGACATGCAAATCAGAGTATGAGGTATAATCCAGAGCATACATATCAGCTCACTACCAATCTGCTGAAGGAGATCAGAGAGTTTTCTGTGGAAGAAAATGACATGAGCTGACTGATGGAAGCAGTGCTGATGATTCCAGCTGAGGAAGATCAGAAAACCACGAGGTGACCTTTCTTGTCTTTGACTGTTTTTCTTTATTGTTTCTGAGGAAAAGTATTCCTCTCACAAACACAACAATAGACCTCAGCCAGTACCAGGAAGGAGCACACAACATTTTTTTGTGGTCAGACTCTGAGCCCCTCTCAAGTGACTGAACTCCTCTTCCTATCTCTAAGGGAGAGGCCAACCACCTTTCACAAAAAGCTTATTTCTGCAGTCTCGTTCTTTCTCTCACTACTCAAAGCTCGTAAACCATAGGTTGAGAGTAGGGACGTAGAGAACTAGTAAATTGACAGTTTTGCTTATACCCTCGGCTCTTACAACTTCACATGTTATACTGATCCTGACTCTGGACAAAGGAGGCTCTTCATTGATAGTAGTTACCACGCTGACACCTGACGCATCGTCAATCCTGAGATACTACTTCATTGAAAACAATGGGCGAGGGCAGCTCAGCTCATAGTATCAATTTATTTTACTTCCTTACTTACAGCTTAATAAACAAGGTCTGCAGCTAGATACATCCAAGGTGTTAGCTCCATTTATAGTTATTCAATGTTTTATTTTGAAAAGCCTCAAAAGGATATGGTGCGATACGATGGTTTTACCGTCGTTGTTGCACAAACCGATGCATAAAACAGTCTCTTGTCCATCCAGAGTGTTATTTTAGATATAAGAAAAATAGACAACTCCAAGAAGAAATTAAGAAAGCCCCTACATTAAGTAAAACCATCCTGCTCCAGAGCGAGACGACTGCATCGCTATGAGCTCGTACAAAGTTGGATACAGCAAGTCAGTTAAGTGTACAGAGCTGTGTGCGTGAAGAATCTAAGAAGAAAAGAAATAAGCTTCCATGGATAAAGTTTTGGACTATGACATGCTGCCAAGCTACAAGTCGTGCCAAAATTGAACAATTACGATACTCAAGTCAATGACAGTGATTTGGTCTTAAGAAAGATGACATTCAGTACGAAAGCCTCAGTTTTGTGTCATAGACCAAGTGTTCCATGAACACTGGTTTAATAAGAAGTTGTGTAAAAGGAGCAAAGATGGCAGATGAAGGTCCCAGGCCTAGGGCACAGAGCTGCAGTAGCAGGACTGGCCACAAGAGGGCACAAAAGTATACCAAAAGAGGTTTGGAAGAACAGCTCGGCAGGCACATAAACGCAAGAAGGTCCAAGCTGTCACAAATAACTTAAAAAATGAATAAAATTAGGGTACTAATGAAAGAGAATGAAAGTCTTGACATTGTTGATGAACATTTAAGTAACTTTTCAAAGCTACACGAAGAATTCTTACAGGCAAATGATGATGTACTGTCGCTGTTGCCAGAAGATGAAAGGAATGTGGACCAGATGCTCTGGTTCAATCCAAAAAAAGGAGCAGTTCAGTGGGTTTATGACTAAAGTTGAAAAATGGATCATCCTAACAAGACATCAGTATCAAGGAGACGTGAGCCCAGATGACAGTGTGTCAGTGACTGCTAGACCAACTGCAAAGAAATCAGGTACCAGCGTCAGAAGAAGCTCAGTCAGTAGCCGCTCAGTCAGTAGCCGCTCATCGAGGTGGTCCAGAGTTTCATCGGTATCATTTGTACGGCAGAAAGAAGAAGCAGAACGTGCTGCTCTGCTCGCACGAGCCACATCCTTGAAACAGAGACAAGCCTTGGACAATGAAGAATTTAAGTTAAAGGGAAGAAGAGAACAGCTTGAGATTGAGACAGCTATTGCTGCTTCTATAGCCAAAATAAAAGTGTTAGAGGACTGTGAATATGACAGATGTAATAATTATGTGGAACAGTGTGAATCAGCTGTTCAACA